GGCGGAGGCCGTGCCGGGAGTGCAGCACCGACCTGAGCGTCTGAGCGCCTGCCGCGCCGGGGCGGACGCGGGGCCCCGCGGGCAGGGGCGTCCCGCGTGCGAAGTCCTAGACAATATGAAGTGTTGTGCCTGATGTATATTAAAGAAAGTATTTTTAAATGCATACTTTTTTTGGAAGTTATTTGCCAAATACTGGCCCAAAGGGATAGAAATTTTGTTCTTAAGGAAACTGTAGAATCCCTAGCAAGTGTCCCCCTTTCGGGGCCGGCGGCCTCGCTGCTGGTGGAACGGGGCTGCTGTCGGTCGTCTTCTCAAAGTGAGGGAAGCTCACGCCCGGGTGACTGGACGCGGACTGTCAGGCGGTGACGCAGGGCTCTGCGGCAGACAGGAGCTGTCCTAAGAGCAGAGCGCGAGGAGGCGAGCTTCCGTCTGTGAAAGCTGAGGACAGGCCTGCCGGAGACGCTGAGATAGGCAAACCGTGTGACAGACTACTGCCGCAGATGAAGGGTATTTATAGCCCAACTGCAGAGCCGAGGAAGCTGGCGTTCTGGAGTTAGGACTGGCTCAGAGCGGCTCGCGCCCTCCCTGGCCGCGGAGGGCCGGCCTGAGACGGCTGAGTCCTCGGCGTCCGCACCTGGCGTGAGAGCGCGTGGCGGCGCCTCTGCGGCCCTGCTGGCCCCGGGAGGAGCGGAGCACCAGCACCTGCGTCCTGAGCGCCCGTGTGAAGCCAAGTGGCAGGCGCACTGTAGGGCAGTGTGCTGGGTGCAAGGCAGACCTCTCCCTCCCCAACACAGAAAGCCCCGCCTTTAGCATAGGCGCATGGCTGTGCTGAGACCCCCGGCGGGGAGCAGGGAACCGGCGGGCTTCCTGGAGGGACCCTGCTCTCTTGGGGTTTAAGAGCTGCGTACTGGGTCTGCTCGTTCCCCGAAGTTGAGCTTGATCGGCAGGGCAGGAGGGGCACGATCCCTATGGCTCCGAGCCTGTTTGGGAAACTTCTGCTATGGTGACCCTGTCCTGTGTGTCTGGGTAGCAGAACAGAGCGTAATGGTTTTCTTTTGAAAGAGACCCCTTCTTTTCTGACCCCTCAGGAGGTGTGGCTGGGTCGGTAGCCCGGGGTGTGGTCTAGAAGGATTACTGCCTAGCTGAGCCAAACGTTTGCTTGTTCCTGTGGGACCATACAGCAAACCACCGCTTACAGCGCGTTGTGTATTTCTATAGTACTGTTTCGCACCGTCCACACGGACGCAGACCTTCGCAAGTCAATCACTGTTGTTCCCATGGTACTGTATTTTTAAAAAAAGGAAAAAGAAATGAATAAAACCAGCCAATCATTGTGTGTACAGAGTTAAAAATTGTAATTAATAGAGCCTGTTTAAAAAAAAAAACAACTGTTGCCTTTTTTCTTGTATAAAAGAGAATTTATGAAACAGTTTAGCTGTGAGGAATGTGATATGTGTTTATATTTCTGAATATGAGCAAATTGATTTACGGGGATATATTTTAATGTAAACTAAATCAGGTATGTAAAGTTGCTTTAAAACAGGAGACTATATAAGTAATTCTCTACAGCTTTAGTCGGTTCGGGATGTCATCGTTCCCCCGTGGTGAGCCTGCTTGTGAATTATTGAGCACTTGTTCCCGTTCTCTGTTCTTCACTCGTTTATTTCCTGCGGTGTGCTATGGACTTAATGCTCTTTCTGTATTGATGAAAAGCAGTATGTGGGCCAATCTTTTTATAAAACACTATGCATATATAAATATTACATTGTTCATAGCTTTATTTGACTTATGGGTTTATAGGTAACACTAGAATAAGTAGCTGTAGTTGTGTAGACGCTTACAGAACAAGTTCCTTTCCTGGAGCGGACACAGTGTACATTCTGTAGCTAAGAAGGTGGGAAAGACTGTGCTACTTTTATTTTCAGTTTTCCACAGAAAGCATACACCGAGCTATAGTAGCAAGGAGAGGAAGAATACAGCTGAATAACAGTATTTTTTCACCAGTTTCCTAAGAGCAACCTAGGAGATTTTATTCCTGAAATTCCACTGCTGGAATTTTCTCGCTAGTTGTAGTGCAATCTGGGATGTCAGACAACTGGCACTGAAGATTTTGGTCCAAGGTTTTAACCAAGTGAAATCAAGATCGGTTTCCAAATGCATCCTGGAGTCAACATTTTGATGCCTTTCTCGTTGTAAGAGATGATATTTGACATTTATAGCCTGCTCACTCCGCCTGAGCTCGCCTCAGTTCATGAGGACTTTTGGTGTGGCAATCTCTCCTTAACTCCATACATCAGATTTGCCCTGGAAATACTGTACTGTCCTGGGACTATGCAGTCAGCAGAAAAATACAACTTTCTTTAAAGTACTGTAACTTTAAATTGGAAACTAATTCTTGTGAGCCTACTTTCCCTAATCTCCACTTCATGTAAATGTGTTGATAAGCGATGATGGATAATATTTTATATGATTAAATCAAACCATTTAGGAATTTCCCTTCCATTTCACAGTTGATGCCTGAAAGAATGTAGCGGGGGGGGGGACTCAATACCCTACTTGTACTTTTTAAGTTTCTTTTGTGAAAGATTTTTAATGCATTTTTATTGTAAAATACATGGAAATGTATGCATTCCATAACCACTATGGCTTCTGGATTGATAACTTCCTTGTCTCCATGTTGTCTCAAATATATCAACATCAAGTGATCAGTTGAGGGCACCTG